TAACACATCATATGTATATTGCATTGTGTATAAAAGGGGTCCAATATATAGTGTGACAGGAAGCTTGACTTTGGGTGGTGAGCACACAAAGAAAAGAAATTTTATCACAAATTAAATGGGTTCTATATTCTTGAGCACTTGCTTTCATTCCTTTAAACATACTTTGCTAAAACCAGCCCTTAATAGACAAATAAGCATGTAATTACTTCTGCCTATATGTACATTTCTTGTTTAAAAATATTTTTTATTTTTCAATTACAGTTGACTTGCAATATTTTATTAGTTTCAGGTATATATCCCAGTGGTTGGACATTATGTAACTTACTAAGTGATCACCCCAATACATCCAGTACCCATCTGATATTATACATAGTTGTTACAGTATTATTGACTATATTCCCTAAGCTGTACTTTATGTCTCCATGACTATTCTGAAACTGCCAACCTGTATGCTTATGCATTTCTTTCAGGCTGTGTTTCCTCATCTATTAACATGGGAATAAACAATAGTCTTTCTCATAACAGGTAGTGAAAATAGACCAGTATTTGAAAGCTTCAGTATGATGCCTGGAACCTGGTAAGCAAGCATTCAGTAAGTGTTAGCAATTATATGGATTTATACAATAGAAAACTACTTAAATAAACACACCATAGTTAATGAAAAGAGGAACAGGTAAAGGTCAGATACAATTGAGGGCAGTCTGTTTGAGTGTATGAATGTCGCTTTGGCAATAGTAATTCAGCCTCCTTGTGCATGCTCGTGTTCTGTCCTCATCTTGGTGCATCAATCCCATGACTGTTTGTGGCCTTTCTTTGACTCCTTTGCATCTGATGCTGAGTGCATCAGGCCAGCTGTTAAAATGAAACTAGTGTGAGAGCAGAAGGCAGTCAGAGGTGATGGCAGTGATGTCATTGGCACCACCAGCACGGACAATGCAATGATGAAATACCTCAGCTAGTTTTCACTTGCAGCCTTCTGGTAGTGAAGGTGGAGGGGACTTCAGTTCAGCATGTTCTCAGCTAGCTGCCCTGACACCCTCAGCTGCTAATTTCCTGTCTTGCTGTGAGTGAAATCTATAGACTTCCTGAGTGTTGACTTAGTACCAGACGCTGACCTAGGCATTGGGGTTCAGAGACAGATTCTTGCCTAAGTAGTCCATTCTAAGTGGAAAAAAGACTTGAAAACACCAACACTCTGATGTGACCAGTGCTGCCATGAAAGAGACAGGAAAGGGACCCCCAATACCCCATATCCCAATATTCAGTTGGCTTAATCAGGCCAGTTTTCCCAAAAGTATGAAAGCATCCCATGGGCATTGGCCTTGTGTACATTTTTGTCGGTCCAGTGGCTGGTTTTTCAGGATGCCGGTGGGAATGGGATTCGGTGAGGTTATGGAAGAAGCTTCATTCCTCTCAAATTTGCTCTTGATTTGTTTTTCTGCTCCTTTTCCCGCAGTCAGACTCCTCTGAGGATACTGAATATCATTTGTATATATTTCAAGCTTATTGTGTGTTTGTTTTCCCCACAGCTTTGGGGCAGATTATGCTTCTCATTTTATAGCTGTGGAAATACAAGTTTAGAGGATGTTGTTGGCTCATCAAGATCCTAATGCTAGCAAATGCCTGAGTTAGGATTCAAACTCAAGTTTCCAAGTTGTTTTTCCCTTCTTCTGCCCTCAAACTTGTTTTCTCTCTTTCCTTGGCCATAGGAAAACATATAACTCACTCTGGACTGTATTCCAAGCATTCCACATATTGGCCAGTACCTTGTAGTCTTGTACAAGATCTTGCCTAAGATTCCCAAGGGAGAGAACTGGACCAAAAGCTATTTTCAAAACTCAGTGATGATAATTACAAATGAATACTGTCACGGTGACTTGAGAATGCTTTTGGTAGTTGTCTGGACCCTCATATTGCATAAGCAGCAGAAGAACAGGGAGACTGTCTCCCAAGTCAGCTTAGGAAGCATAATGGATTCAGTGCAGTTTTCGCCGCTTCACAGGGAAAGTCATCAAAGCCAGTGTTCCTAAAAAATTAAATGGCTGATAGAATTGTCAAGAGGGCAAAGGAAAGAAAATTCAGGGTGAGCTTTCGTAGGGTATAGGTATCTGTGAGTCTCCTGTGGATCTTACTAAAATGGAAGTTCTGTTTTAATAGGTCTCGGTGGGTGTGAGATTCTGGGCTGCTGGTCCATTTGGACACCGAGGGTTTAAACCACTGACTCAAACTTAGCTTCAAATTTGGGAGCTTAAAGGCATCCTGATGCCTGAGTTCTAACCCCAGATATTCTAACTTAATTGGTGTGAGATATGCCTTGAGGGTTTAAAGAAGTCTTTCAGTTGATTGTAAGATGCAGTCAAATTTGATTTAAATTCTCTATGGTGAGCATTTCCCACTTACAAAAGGAATAGAATAGCATCCAGCTATCTCATAAGGGTAGGAATAGAGATGAATTATATAGAGGATATACTACACCTGGATCATAAGGGTTCAATAAACTAAATGAGAGTTTGTCTTTTTTCAAATTCTCAGATGGCAGTAGTGGGTTTTGTTTTCTGAAAATTTCTCCTTTCCTTAGTCTGCATCCTTACTCTCCTGAGTCCTGAAAAACCATTTGAAGAAAAAAGATTGTTTTCAATTTACATTTTCATATTTTGTAAAGAGTTTCTGTTCCTTGGGGGAGGGGTAGCTTATTTGCTATCTTCTCTCTAGAATGAGGCCTGTGTTTAAAGAGATTTTCTTTGACTATTCATTTACGAAATAGTCACTGAATGACCGTTTTGTCCCAGGAGCAGTACTGGGCTGTGAGGGCCTAGCGCTGAATAAGATAGGGCTCCTGCACTTGAGGAGTCCAGATGTTGACGAGAACCAGGGGTGAACAGTACAGTGTTATGCCACAAGTATGGAAGAAAGTAGAAGGGAATTAGGTGAGGCCAGCAGAGTCAGGAAGACTTCTCTGGGGAGATCAGACCCTGATAGGTGGTAACCAGGCAAAAGTGAGTGAAACAAGTATTCTAAGCAGAAGGAAGAACATCTGCAAACACCTGGTGGCAAAGCTGAACACAGAAAGTTTGAGGGATGGGGAGAAGTTCAATGTGATCTAGGGGTGGGGAGTGATATGAGGCCAGAGAGAAAGGCAGGATGTAGATGGAAATGGGGCTGGTTTAGAGATCTTAAATTTCAGGAAGGCTGGATTTGCAGTGATTGGAGCAGGTAATGTTGGAATGTGGGTGTTCACACACCAGGGCTTGAGTCCCAGCTTTATCAACCACTGGCTGGGTGATGCTGGCCATGCTACCCAGCGTCTCTGAGTCCTGATGTCATTGTCTACTGAGTGGGGACAATGACGTCTACCTCATAGGGGTATTTTGAGGATTAAATGAACAAGGATATGAAAAGTGAATAAAATGTGAGAGCTGGGTAAACAATTATTACTACCAAGCTCAAGAACATTGGAGAGTTGTTATTGCTGTTTGGAGATGGGATTTGTGAGGAGACAGGAACCAAGGAGGTGATCAGAGTGAATGCAAGTAAGATGATGGTGGCTGGGACTATGGACTTGGATGAATTGAACAGATGTTGATTGGATGGGAAATAGGAAAGAAGGGTGATACAAAACTCATGTAGACTTTGAGATTTAGAATATGGGAATGGCGACAAGTTGTGGCATCGTGAAGTTGGTTTGGTACCTGCTGAGACTATCCATCAGGGATCAGTTGCAGAGATTAGACTTTCCCCTAGTTTGCTTAGAAGGAAGGCATTTATTGAAGGGTGTTAAATGGCTTACAGAATTGTCAAGAGGAAAAAGAATTCAGCTTGAGCTTTCAGGAGCAACTTCTAACCCCCCTCTTAGGAACTAAGCTGCTCAGGTATCTCTTCAGTAATCTTGTACCAGGAAGGTGCCCCCTCAGGAGCCACCATACTGCTATTTTGAACAGGAGAACACCACAATCAGGAAGCTGCTACCACTTCCAGTTCTAGGACCAATGGAAATCTGCAACAGACCATTTAAGCACAATGGATGCTTCTCTCCCTATGCCTAGACTCGCCACACTTACTAAACTAGTATCTAAACACGGGAACCTCTGCAAAAGCAGCTGCAGAAATACCAAATGCCTCCACAGCTGGGCTTGCAGCAGAAGGAACAAACATCCCAAAGTCTTGTTTGTCTTAGCTGCAAGAGCCCAAGCCACAAGAAAATAAGGAAAGTATATCTTTAGTCTTCTAACTTCTGGAGTAGGGAAGGTCACATGAGGACAGTATTTTGCAAATTGTGGGTTGTGACTCATGAAAAGATTGTAAAATCAATTCAGGTGGTCACAACAAGATTTTTTTCTTAGTTGCAAATAGTAAGAGCAACTCCTCATGTAATAAAACTTTTGTCTTAGGGTATGTGTATGTGTGTATATGTATCCTTGCTTAAAAAGGATTTAAACTTCTTTTCAAAAGGATTTGAATTTCTTTCTTTGGGTTGTGGTAAAAAAAAGCAAACCTCAAAAGTCACTGCACTAGACGTTGAGTGCCAATCTTCCATTGCAGGGTCTCAGAGAGAACTAATGGATAGAGCCCAGAGTTTACTGACTATATAGGCCTGGGTTTTAGGAGAAAATCAAGGCTGGATATGTAGATTATATAGTCATTGACAAGAAGATGTCGTTCAAAGCCATGGGAGTTAAGTCACCCAGGGAGACAATATGGAGTGTCAAGAGAAAGAGGTCTGGAACAGGCCACAGAGAACAGAGGTATTTTATCTTGAGGCAGAAATGTTCTTCTGGGGTTGTGCTTGTCCTTCTTGTACTCTGACATTTTTCATATACTCTCCAGAAAGACAGCTGGGTCTGGGGAAGCCCCAGAACACTTTGGAAAGGCATGTTCCAAAGACATGTTAACTAGTGCTGATTTTGCAGCAGCCTGGCAGAGCCATGGCACACATTACATTGTGATGTGGACACTGGCCCACAGTGTCCGTGTCATTATGGATGAAATGAGACATTCACACAGACTACTGAGTCCTGTGGAGGAAAAGAGCGGGCATGGCTTTTCTCTCAAGGGGAGCAAAAGCTGTGGCCCTTGCCAGGATGTCCTTTATTGGGTTTCCTGGCACATTACAAGATGGACCTTATTTACTATGCACAGGTTCACTTTAGGCAGTTACCTTTCACAGAAAACAATGGAGAGGATGCTGGTAACACATCACAGAAGCGGGATATTAGCAAATGGAAAGGCAAGAGTGGTTGAACTGGTTACACTGGTCCTTGGAAGGTTTAGCATTGTTTTTAGGAAATTTGCTGTAAACGTTTGCCACAAATCCAGGTGAGGGAGTTGTTTTGAAAAAGCAAGACTCAAAGCGGCCTAGGTACATAGCAGGCCTGATCCCCCACGGGAGAACCTATCCGTGGATGTGGGTCCTGTGCATTTCCCAGTGGGAGGTGGGCCCACGCCACGCAGAATGGTCTCCTACAACACTGGGTCATAGCCTGGCATCTGGCAGGGGGCAGGACACCACATGGGCACTCATGATGTGTGCAGAGTGGGTGCACAGAGCAAAGAAGTGCTTAATTAAGAAAGGTAGGAAGAACTATTCAGATTCCAAAGCTCTGGCTCAGGAGCTGTGACCACAGGGGTCTAATTTCACTAGCCACAGTTGATTCAGTAGGTTCAGGCTACTACGGCAGTCTCCTTCAACTGTGGTTCCATTTTGCATGCTTCCACTTACCCACAGTCAACTGTGGTCTGAAAATATTACACGGAAGGTTCCAGAAATAAACAATTCGTAAATGTTAAATTGCAGGCTGTTCTGAGGACTGTGATGAAATCTCATGCCGAGCAGCTCCCAGTCGAGATGCGACTCATCCCTCTGTCCATGAGATCCAGGCCCTACATGTTCCCTGCCCATTAGTCACGTATAAACCGTCTTGGTTATCAGACTGACTATCACGGTACCACAGTGCTGGTGTTCAAGTCACCCTTCTCTTACTTCATAATAGCCTCAAAATACAGGAGTAGTGATGCTGGCAATTCCAGTATGTCACAGAGAAGCCCTTAATTTTTTAAAGTTAATTGCTTTTATTTTCTAAGTTAAAAGGTATGTATTGGCATATGTATAGGAAAAAACAGTACATATAGGGTTCGGTGCAATCTGTGGTTTCAGGCTTCCACTGGGTGGGTCTTGGAATGTGTTTCTTGTGGCTAAAGGAGGAACTGCCATGTTTATAGTTTTTGAAGACTATTTTTGTTGCATAGAAAAATGGCAACAAGCAGTGGGAGCTGTACAGAAGATGCGCTTATTATAGCAAAACCAATAGGCAAAATAAAAGTTCATCTATAGAAGAATGGGCAAATGTGGGATATTTAAATAATGAAATATTAGCATATGGCAGTTAAATGAATGAGCTAGAACTACATGTATCCGTCTGCATAAATCTCAAAAACTTACGTGAAATCATTCAATTCACAAAATGTTATATAAAGTATGATATCATTTATTGAAATTTTAAAAGCTACTCTAAACTCTACTATATAATTTTATGGGAGAAAAAGTATAAATTCATGTAAGTGAAGGGAACACACAAACTTCCAGTCAATAGTTATTCTCTGGAGAAGGTGTAGGGACATGGATGGAGGAATGAGACTTTAGTTCTATATGTATTATTTTATTTTTCAAAAGAAGCAGAGACAGATATAGCAAAATATTAATAGTTATTAAATAGGCTGGTAAGGCATGAAAAAATATTATTTTCTGTTCTTTTTATAATTAAAAATAAATAGAAATGAATATAAATTTTGTAATGACCAGAGCAAGAATCAGGCTCCCTCTCCTGACCCCAGAATATGCAGATGACCTTTAAAACAATTACTAAATAAAGTGCACACACAGATACATATAGGTATATATAATACACATGTGTATAGTGCACACACATGTACACATGTATAGAGATATATAGATGTACACACATAATGCATTAACACATATACACATAATTTCAAACTAAAACAAGTTTCTAATTTTTTTATTGGAAAAAATACCAGCCTTACATATTTCTTCAGTTTCTAAGAGATAGAACTTTTATATCATGGGACACTGACCTTTCCCTGAGATTTGACCATGTATTGAGTCTACAGACCAACTGGGTCTCACATTAGAGTGTGATCCCGGGGTGACTGCAGTGGGGGCCAGGCAGAGCAGAGGACAGCCCTGAGTGCTGGGAATACTGCACTGCAGGGCTGGGAAGATATGGCCTGCGGAATTACAGATGAGCTGCAGAAGGGGACCCATAAAGCCTGGTGGGAAATGATGGACACAGGAGTCAGGAGGCTGGGCTCAGACCCTGGTGCTGCTACTAAACATGGGTAAGGACTCCCCAAGTCCCTGCCTTATATTGGGCTTCCATTCAAATGTTGGGTTAGCTGATCTCTCAGGATCTTTGTGGAGATGACAAACTGACTGTCCTCTTAACTAAGGGCTTTGTCCTTGTGTGGGAATGAATTAGTGGTATGAATTTTCCCAAGGGCAGCAATACATTTAGTCTATATTGACTTGTTACTTTTCATCAATTCATGCTCTTCTACAAGTTCTGCAAGTATAGTGTGTGTGTGTGTGTGTGTGTGTGTGTGTGTGTATGTGTGTGTTGTGGGGGTGGAGAAGTGCAGTTAAGTTTTTACCAAAGAGGCATATGTTTCAGGTAGCCTGACTTCCCAGTTACAAAAATCATTTATTTTACTGGCAAAGATGGTGTCATTTGCTTACAGTATGTCCAGGGGCTGGTTAACTCTCAGGGAGTAACTTTAGTTTTGAACTTCCTAGGTTGTCCACTCCTTATATAACTATTAGGTCGTCCACTCCCTGTGTAACTATTAGGTGACTGACTAGAGATTACTCTCTTACTGTTTTGTCTTGCTACAAGATTCCTTTCAATGCTGTGCCCCCTGTGTCTTTAGGTGTTGGCTTGATAGAGCCTGAGTTTGGCAACCACTCGCAATGTCTAAGTCAGGTGCCTCTGCTTGGAAGATCGTTGGTGAAAAGTGCAAATGGAATAGTTCTTGAGTTGGAAGGCGAAATGGTAAAAAAAATGTGCTTAATTTGCGCGTGCTTGGGTTGCAGATACATTTTCAAGGATGCGTGAGTTGGTCTAAAGCAAGATTCATTTGCCCTGTAGAGTTAGGTTATAACTCAAATGGCAGAGGCCTCCTTATTCTCCAGCTTTAGGTCCTCAAAACCTGCCTATGTTTTTACCACATACCACTTGGCTTGGCTTGCTCAGATCACACCTCTTCCAATGCCCCTTGCTCCCAAAGAGTCTACTTACAGAAAGCATTTCAGTGTAGACTGAAATTGTAGGACCTTTACTGAATAATTCACTGATGGAGGAGGAGTCAACAGAGTATGCTGCTCAGCTACTCACTTAAAATTTTCTCTTAGTCATTTCTGTTCTCCGGAATTCCTCTCATCCATACCACCACTGATGATTTTTTCTTCTTTTAAGTCTTTTCTAATCTTTCTCTGATAAACTTTCCTGAATTCTTACTCTTTTCTTTCCTTTCCCCTTTCCTGAGAAAAACGCAAATTTCACTTCACTAATTTGCATAGAGTTAAAGGTCCCTTTTCTTTCTGAAACATAACCTCAGGGGCTTACGCTTCTAGTCCAATGGACTTTTCAAACAGTAAGATGCTCCTTCAAAGATGATGGGCAGTGGTCAAAGTTGATGTAGTGAGTGAAACCTGGCTTTGCTCAGGAGTCCTTTTCAGTGTCTTCAGGGTCATCACTGTCTATTAACAACTTTGTGGGGCTTTACGAACCCTGTCCAGAAATGGTTTTCTGAGAGGTGTTTGAAGCAGGGGACAGAATGAACTCATGAGGGAGATGGCAGCAGCTATGCCCTGACCAAATGACCACATCATTTGGACCACTACATGCTCGATTTAAGAGTTGGCTGAACGCACAGCACTTTCCTGAAAACCAGAAACCATCTGTTGTGTTATTGTCCACCTTCACTGGAATGGACCCACAAAGCCTCTTCAATTCAGAGGAATTTGGCATTTTTTTTTACACATTTTAGGTCCTACAATTCACACCATTTGTCAAGGTGCCCTGAACGTTGTCTCCAAATTCTGACTCTGTGGAGGTGACATGCAACCAGATGATGTTAGTGCCATTGGTTTTATACTGGTGTGAGGGCCTTCCCTTTGGTTGGAGGCTTCCAGAACACTGTCTGGAATCTTAGTTCATAGATCTGTGATGCGAGAGGCTGGTCTTTGGAGATGTAAGAGACTTTAGAGAGATTCAAATCCAGCCCTTTCATTCTTCAGATGCGGATCCTGAATTCCAAGGACAGGAAAGGAATAGCTCCAGGTCATACTGTGAGTTAGTGGTTGGGGCATGAACCCATCCCTTCTGATTCCCTTGTGGGGTTCTGTCCACCACACCACATTGCTTCCCCGCTCTCTATCTGAAACTCTCTTTTTAACCCTGGAGTTGTATCTTCCGAAAAGACAGAAGGAGGAGCATACTATTTAATACCCTTTGTGGTTTCAGTCTTGTTCTAGAGTTTCTTTTTTTGCTCAAGTGTCTGGATAGATGAAGTGCTATATGACAGAGGCCAGGAGAAAGGGTTCAGTCTGAACTACTGTATAAGAAGACAGACAACACATTCTCAAGAGGAAAGGTGTTTGTATCCACATACTGGAATTTATCCACCTGGACTGATATGGTACTGTTGACCTGTAGGTGCTGCAGAAGGAACTGAGAGAGATTCTGGTATATCTTTTCAGTTTGCACTCCAGACTCACACACTGTCACCAGTGTCTGCTTTTTGACATCTTTGTCGATGAGAAGTTCCAACTTTAGGTCGACAGAATGTCCCGGGCATTTCACATAAAACTGCAGTTGGCAGATAATGAAGTACCAACCTGGGAACTGGATGACCAGGTTCCCATCCTGATGTCTGACTCCATGGATGATGCCATCTTTGTTCCAAGACAACTTGGTTTTGTTTATATGCTTTGACACTGGAAAGAGAAGAAAAAACAAAACAATTATGGGGCAGATGGCAGGTGCAGGCTAAAAATGTGAAGTCTTTTTCAAGGTTTCCCATTCAAGACATGTGTCTTCTATGATATTGCCTGCTATTACGACCATCTGAAATAGCTCCTGTGTTACTCTTTCTAAGTGCTGCTTAATATTCTTCTCTTTCTCTAATGCTCAAAGCTGAAAGAACACACAGGGTGCTGGACCTCTCTCTACGTCCTACAGAATTACTTTCCACTTAATTATTATATTATTCTGTTATTACGATATCTTTGCCTTTTCAGACCACAAACTCCTAGATGTATTCCCCTCAAGTTCTGGAATATCATGTTCATTTATCCAATCTATCAATGAATACTTGATCAAGGGGGGGACTACTATTTGGTAGGCATTGCATAAAGTATCAAAAATAGGACATTTATTTTTAGTAACCAATTTAGGGATCAAGATGTCCAGGAGAAACTCAGTCTGTTTGCTTTTGAAACAAGATGCATCCTTTAACCATTCATTATCTAAATCTTTAAATGTCTTCCTCTTTTTAAAAAGGCAGCCAAACATAAATGCAGATGCCCCTTACGTGCACATTAAGGAGCTCTTCCAAGCTGGGGTTTATAGAAAGGTGAGTGTCAGCAGATCCTCCCAGGGGTGTTCTGCCTGCGGCCCACGGGACACATGCAGCCCAGGGTGGTGTGAATGTGGCTTTACACAAAATCATAAATTTACTTAAAACATTATGAGACTTTTTTGTGGTTACGTGTTGCAGTGTATTTAATGTGTAGCCCAAGACAACTCTTCTTCCAGTGTGGCCCAGAAACGCCAAAAGGTTGGACACCCCAGGTTATTTATGTGCCAACATATTCCTGTCAGAAGCGAAGTCTCTCTGGGCCCTAATGAGTGAAAGTCAGCACTGTCAGGGTGCCTTTCAGAACTGGGAAGCAGGCCTGTTCGTTTTAACAGCTTCTATGACTTACCTTTAAACCTCCTTGCAATTCAATTGAAGAGTGCAAACTAATCTAACTGTAAAATTGAATTTCTAAAATGAGCAGAATGGTTATTCAGAGAATCTTGGCCATTGCCTCCATATCTCATCTTTCCCAGTGTAAGTGGCTCTAATTATTTCATTTATAAGAGGGCTCTTACCTTGCAGTAATATGCAAATAGGCCCTGTGCTGACTTGTTCGTTAAGCTGTCAATCTGGGCACAGGGCAGTTTTGTGCCCCCCCTGTGAATAACTAGACAGAGGTAGAGATTAAGAGCCTCCTTCCCTTGTATGAGGAAAGGCGCTATGCACTTGGCCTGCAACTTCTAAGGGGCTGAAGAGAGAGGGGTGGTGGTGGTGGAACACGGATGCCTCTGGGAGCCAGGTAGTCGGTGAGAAGGCGTGAATGCAGTGCAGGTGGCTGAGGCTAGAGGAACCTTGTTGTTTTAGAGTAACTCTCTTCTCTTCCTCCTAAGGCGTTTTAATTCAAATTGCAAAAGGTAGCTTGCAGGTGAAACAGAACACATCTGCAGGTCACATTTGGCCACAGGCCTCTACTTGTGACCTCTGGCTCAGAAGTTTCCGAATGAGGAAAACAGGTGAAACAATTGTTACTGAACAACAATAAATTTTTAAAAAGTTTTCCAAATGCATAATAGGCTGCAGGAATTGGCCCTGAGATGGTTGGAGTTCCTAGATTTGGTTACTGACCTTGGAGGTAGGCCCATGACTTCTTGAATGGAGCCCTTTCCAGGATACATGAGATGTCCTCTGAGCAGTTTCCTAAAAGTGAAATCACACATTAACTGTGTCCTTCTGCTCTGGGAGTGGGAGACACCAGATCTTTCCCCGCGGCCCTTTGATGGAGACCATGACCCTGCTGTTTCCATTTGTGGGCAGAGGGCATCTGTTTGTTTACTTATTTTTTTAGTGGTTTACTGCCTCTATTTTTTAATTTTAATTAATTTTTATTTAATCTCACATGTTATATTTTGTAAATTTAAGGCATACAGCATGTTATTATATATTATAATTGATTGCATTGAAGCAATACTTACCACATTACACCTTTATAGTATAATATTCATTATATTATACCATGCATTAGATCTCTATAGCTTAGTTTTTTCTTTTTTTAAATTGTTAACACTATTACAGATGTCCCCCATTTTTCCCCCATTTGCCTACCTCCACCTAGCCCCTGGCCCTCCTCCCCTGGTTCTCACCACAGAAATCTGTTTATTTCTCATTTTGCCATCAACTACCTTAGTATTTTTAAAAATGGATCCCTTGTACTTGGGCTTTTAGCAGACTGTGGAAGTTGGGGAATGAAAACCTATATGACCCAGGTTCCTCTATGTACCAGGTGCCATTCTTGTCCTATTACAGGTTTCAACCTCACCTGATCTTTCCCATCTCACTCAGCCCGGCCACGGTAGTCGGGGCAGTGATAGGTAATTGTTGATGGCAACTGCTACTGTCCTTCCTTTGAGAGTGCACCAGATAGTGAACTGTGTGCTTGCACTATTTCAGCTAATTTAAGTCTCAGAATAACTCTGCAAGGTTAATCCTGGGGCCTACACACAGTCAGTGGTACAAGGTCAAGCAAGTGGTTGGAAACGCTGAGATTCACTTCTAAGTCTGTATCCGCCTGGAGGCCAGGTTTCCTCCTTGAAGCTGTTTTGCTAGATAGTGGAGATAAAAAACATCCCTGTGCTCAACTCCTAGACAATATAGGATCAAAGAAATCTAAGCAGGGAGACTGCTCTCAAGAGCTCCGTTGGCAGGGAAAAAAGACAATGTTTATGTTATTATGGCTTAAAACATTAAAATATTTTATTAAATATATTCACTGGTGATGGTGGCTTAGCTTCTTATTATTGTAACTATTTTGTATGCAAAGAAACAAGTTACACATTTCCTATACTGCCTCATGAATTCAAGTTATTCTGGGCAAATTTCATTTTTTCTTCAGGCCTTGATTTCCGTAGCTATACAACTGGTAAATCTGTGACCTGGCATTGACATCTTTTGGATGATGCCATCATAAATGACTATTTATTCTGTCCTTCAGACACTTGGCAGCCATAGGCCAATTCAGTTGAAAGCACTACACCCGTGAATTTGCTTACAATACTTGCTGGGCTCACAATCTTCCCACTGCCCTCTCCTCCCAGGCCTGAGAAAATCTCTCGACTCTTTACAGTACTGGACTTGGAATAGTGGAACATTAAGTGAAGAGTTCCCTCTGCTGTCTGAACAAGCTTGCTGCTAGGGGCATCTTCACCAGAAGCATTGCCCTCACCCCTTAAAGCAACTCTCTGATCCACATGTGTCTTTCGTGATGATGACTGGAAGGCCAGCTGCCAGGCTTTTGAATCCATCTTTCACTCATACTCCGATGAACATTGTTGCCCTGCCTGTTTCAGCCCTCAGCCCACACATTTGGGGTGTGTAGAATTGAGATAGGATAGTAAGAAGCTAGGAGAATTCCTGGGCAAGTGGAATGGGGAAACTGAGACAAGAAAATTAAACATGACCAAACAATTTGAGCAACTTACAGCCAGCCAATGAATCACAAAAATTTATTTCCCCTGACCAAGGGCACTTGAGAATGAATGGTTAATAGCTCTCCTCCCTAACCAGAGAATACAAAGCTTCGATGACCATAAACCACAGTTATCTGGGGGAAGAGAGCAATGCTAACGTGAATGGAGACATAACACCTGAACAAGGGGAGCGAGCTTGGGAAGAAGCTGCCAGACTCCCCTTTCAGCTCCCTTAGGAATTTCCCCCTGGCCAATCCCCACCTTTCCCTTATATAAACTTGCTTGTGAAAGCTCAAGGGAGAGTGGATGTTATGGCTTTAACCCCTCACCTTCTCAGATGGCTGGCCTCTGATATGTATAAAAGTACAGTTATAATCCAATCCTCATCTCTGCTTTTTGGCTGAGTGGTGACAAGCCCTGGACTAGGTTGCCCTCTTGTCTCAGAATCGGAATCAAAACACTGAGGGCTGCTTACTCTCTAATGCACTGTGACAGCTGTTGAGATTTCTGGGGTCCCCCTGCCTTTGTGGGGTGGGGAACGTCAAGTCCACAGGAGGAATCACAGAGAGGCATGTTTAGCTGCGTTCTGTTGGAATCCCCTTCCTGACGCCTGTGTGCCTGCCAGCAGGATCAGGGCAGGATCAGGGGAGGGTGTTCTCATCCCTCCCCTCTGTCCTAATAAAATAATAATAGTAATAGTAGTGCTAGGAAAAATAATAGCTAATACATTTTTAGCTATATAGCCATTGAATGATAGCTATTATTTCTAGGTGCTTTGCTAAGCATGTTACATGCATTATTTTACTTAATCCTTACAACCATCCCACAAGAAATGTATTATAATGACTTCCATCTTGTGCCTAAGGAATCAAGGTTTTAAATGGTTAAGTGACTTGTTCACATCCATACAACTAGTCAGTGGTGTAGTGGAGATTCAAACCCAGGCTGCCTGACTTTAATGCCTGAGTGGATTGCTTGTGACTACTGGAGTTTAGGGGCTTCTGCTGCCCCCAAACACACATGTTGATTTGCCATTCCACTGGGATTCTCCTTCACTGGGCAAGTAATGGCTCATTTAAAGCACAGCCTGGCAGTCATCCCCTCCAGGAAGCCTCTTCGGACTGTCCCCTTGGTGTGCCTAGTTTCCTCCATTGGATGGACCACAAAGGGACTACTGTTTATATATCCCCACTGCCCAGCACAGAAGGTGCTCTGTGGATATTTGTTGAATTGGATCATCTGGTTCACCTCTCTCTCTTCCCTCTGTGGATATCAGCTAAGTTCTTCAGGCATGAGTGAGGTGAATGGGGTGCTTGGCTTGCCTTTCCCCTGCAGGTTGAGATACCCCTGGCCTCATACTCCCATTGCTCCTGCAGGTTAGGCTAGATTTAAATGAGGGGATAAAACTTGTGCCCCGGAGTGAGGCCAGCCTGTCACACCAAGGACAAGCTCTGCTCATAGACCACAAGCTTGCTCACACGGTGCCGTGTCAGGTGAGCTTCTATAAACAGATGGCTGTAAAAGTACAAGCCTGGGCTTGCCTCTCACAGAGGCAGGTTCTTTTTTTTCTCCCCCTTTGGTCTTTGCATGTTTGGTGGGTTGACCTCAGTTGTAATTCTGAGAAACTCAAGGGTGAAAAAGAAAAACATATTTGAAGTATTTGCATTTCCTGAAGTCAAATGGCATGGTGTATTTTAATTTTTCTTGAAAAATTTTTAAAATGGTTTCAAGTGAAAGGAAAAACATGAGCCACTGCCTGTGAGAATGACGTTGCTAAGGAAAGGGCGCTGGGCCCCAGGACCCAGGAGGGGTTGCAGATGAAATGAATGCAGTGGTTGAACCTGGAGAGGAGCTTCGAAGAGGCCTCGGCCATCTGATGAGACTGTCAGCAGGAAGGCAGGCAGCCTGATCCACTGGCCCCAAAGACTAGGGCTGCAACTGTACATTTAAGGAGTTGACCCACTCCACTAATGGCTAACGCTGCTGTCACCCCATTTCTCAGATGAGGCCATGGAAGGACCTTTACTAGGGGCATACAAATTAGACTAGAAGTCACAGTATTGGGACCTCAAATATTTGACTACTCAAGTGCTGTTTAAAGAGGCATTGAGCTGCACTGAAGGTCATGTGGCTCTTGTCAAGAGCCGGGTGAACATTTTATGTGGCTCATGTCTCCTTAGCACCCTGGGGACATGAGATGACTTTCTTTTCTAGTTCTGAAAACAGGAAGGAGTGACTTATCAATGGGTAGTGCTACGTGCAGCTGTAATCCTGCAATGTCCCTGGAATTTTGTGTGCTGGGAGGATAGAGTGCAAAACATTCCCTTTTCATTCATTTCCCAGATGAATGTAAAACCCAGAGTCAGGGTTAGTTTGAAGAACTGGAGACTTCCATGGGGAAAATGAACTTTCTGTAAGTCATGGCTATGTACATGGCCTGGGGGTTAGAAACTAGGAATTTCCCCTTTCTGTGCTCTTATGTCCCTGGCTAGATGGAGAGCAGTGTGGATTTGATGATCTTGGAAGGCCCTTCTCACTTATTCTAGCAGGCTTTGTAGACTCAGCTGTACACCGCCAGGCCTGCTATGGGGCGGGGGAAGTCAGTCCTAGCTCCAGCTGTCTGTCTGTATGGACATGCTGCTCTTCCCCAGCTAGAAGACTGTCTTCCCATAGTCAGACTCCAGATATCTGCCATGGTAGAACAGACCATTACAGCTCTGGGGATAATCAAAGTTACCTAGGGCCCAGTTCCTTAAGGATGCGCATGCTTCATAGAAATGGAAGTTCCCGACAAGTCAATTGGTCCAAGCTTGGTAACCAGCTAATAATACATGTGCTCCCCAATGTTACCCCACTGCATACTTGTCCTAGGTCACCCCATGAGTTAGGGACAGAGGCAGGACCAGGGTCCAGTGCTCCTTACTCCTTCTTTGGGGCATTCCATCTTTCAGAAAACTCAAGTACCCTGTGAATTCTGAGGGCCAAGGCTTTCAGATGGGAAAGAGTTGTAAACTGTTTTCCCAAGCTTTGGACTCCTCTGGAAGGTTCATGAACTTTCTAAGGCTTTTTTGCGGGGAGGGACCTGAAGAGAAATATGTGCCAATGAAACTGTCCTAGCCAATTGCACTTTCAACCACTTTTGAGCACTTTCAAAGTGGTTGAAAGGATCATGTTCTAGAAGTGAGAATAATGTCAACCTGAAGATTGGACTCCACCTTGAGATCTCATAAGGTT